TAATTTCTACTGATTTATATAATTTTTAATAGAATTCTTTATTCCCAACCGGAGCTTGGTGTATTTATTAATAATTTTCCTTATTCAAAACTAATTAGTAGAGGCAATTCTAGCCTTTAAAATTTTCAGAATCGGATAGGACCTTTTTTTATTAAATATAGTATATTAATTTTGCCTGCTTAATATAGAATTGATTAATTAACTTAATAAGACTAGTCTAGAAGTAGTTATCTTTTATTTTTTAAATCGGTAGTAATAGTCCTGTTTGATTTTCCGATATAGCAGACAGTTAGATTTATTAAAGTCCGAAATAAAAATAATATATTAATTAATTTAATAGATTAAAGATAAAACAGACTTTTTAAAATAAATAGATTTAATTAGCAGATCTGGGTCTACCAGCTTCTATATATTCTTATTAATAGCAAACAATCGGATCTGATTAATCCAAAGATACTAATCAGATTAATTATTTAAAATAATACTTTTCTCTGTTTGTTGATTTATAGTTAGAATTTAAATAAATAAATCAAAATAGTAAATAAATAAATAGATAAATAAATAAATAAAGATTAGATATTAATAAATAATTAAAGCAAGGATATAACCGGGCTTATAACTAAAAAGAATTCTGAATATCTTTACTTCTACTTTAATAAAACCTTACTTTTTACTTAAACTTTATATGGGATTCCATACAAAATTTAAGTAAGGAATAAAGTAAAAGTAAAAGTAAAGTAAAAGATAGATAAAATCAATTTTTTGAATAAATAACTGATTAAACTAATTTAACTGAATAAATTAAATAAATTAAACTAAAACTGAACTGAAACTGCTTCCTTAATTAATTAAAAGAATAAAAGAAATTAATCTCTTATTTATAGTTGAATAGCCATATTGATTTTCCGAGGCTTTCCGCAATTATATAAAAAATATATAAAAGTAAATAAATAAATAAATTCCTATTGAATAGAAATAATAGGATGAATAGAAGAAGATTGTTCCAGACTGTTTTTTCTACTAAAAGATTACCGGAACTCGGAAATCCACTCCGCGAACTGGCTAACCTGAGGCAGCGAACTGGAGAGCCTGAGGTGGCGAACTAGCGAGCCTGAGGCTACCAACTGGCTATATAGTTGACAAGAACACATAGAATAAATAAAATAAATAAAATAAATAAAATAAATAAAATAAATAAAATAAATAAAATAAATAAAATAAATAAAATAAATAAAATAAATAAAATAAATAAAATAAATAAAATAAATAAAATAAATAAAATAAATAAAATAAATAAAATAAATAAAATAAATAAAATAAATAAAATAAATAAAATAAATAAAATAAATAAAATAAATAAAATAAATAAAATAAATAAAATAAATAAAATAAATAAAATAAATAAAATAAGTAAAATAAA